TGTATGGACCAGTTATAACACATTTAGTATTTGAGATAAGAAATCTGAACATAGAATAGGCTGCGCTAGGGATAGTATCATACAACACCGCAAGTTGCTAGAAAACCAAAATATTAGCTTGAAAACTCAAGTTACGCCATTGTAGCGAGGTCCGCGACGAACGACGGGTCAGCAATAGAAATGTGAAGGATTGTCCATCAGATGTAGCGGACCCCACCACATTTATTTAACTTTGATTAGAAATGATGTGGAAAAGGACAAGCAAAGACGCTGGAGGTCACCATCAAATGTGGCGGTCACAATGCAATTTATATTTGACGTAAAACAGCACATAGTAAAAATACAATAGCGTTACGTCTCTTAGATTTGGAAAATATTTGTACCGGAGCTCACAAAGTTGAATTAATTATTAAACTGTAGTTTTAGAAGAATAAAGTTCCTGTTACATGTTAGAAAACGTGAGTTGGAAAGGTTGGTATAGTTCAGTAGAGTTTAGTGTTCGCACTTGCGTGAATGTTGGTAATGTTCTTTAACACCTGACCACAAGGTCAAGACGAGTGTTCTTGAAGATTACATCTTGGCAGAAAGGAAGGAGACGAAAGAGAAAACGGAGAGAGAAGGCTTACTCGTGTTTTGTTTATATAAGGTTGTGTATCATGTGAAAGGCTCAAACATTGTGCCCGGGCAAATATCATTCCTCGCGTGCAGGCGATTTGATTATTCGGAATTGACCAATCAGCAAGCTAGTTTTAAGGAGATTAACCAATGAATTCTTGTCGTATGATCTGTATTATCTGTATGTATGTATGTGTGTTGATGACAATCACTACACCATCTCCTCAGATCGAGACTTTCATATGGATGTTATGAATGGCGCCGAACCCATTCAAAAATATCTTATCTGTATACAACCGCTTCCTCAGATCTGGTTAATAATGGCTTCGAGCTAGTGAAGCATGTAGGCCTTAGCGAGGACAATGTTTCTTTGAACATTATGGACTGGCGCTACAGAATCACAAACCCAGAACTGTAACAGATAAGTGAAGCCACATCTCTTGAGGAGTTTCAAATCAACAACAGCAATAATTGAAATGGATAGCACATGTAACTTGAAGAGAGAATAACAACAAAATCAAGATGTTGACGTTCCATACTACTTCAAGCAAAAGGTTAGGAAGGAAAACCATATCAATGCTGGAAAGAGCGATAACAGTTAATGGACTTGAGAAAACTATTTTACTGAAATATTGTTTTAATAGAAAGATTTTATGAATTTGAATCGAAAGTAACATTGGTTGCTAAGTCAGTGAATACCGAATGTTTCCTTATAATGAAACAATTAATATTACCATTACCATTCGTTTATATCGTTTCGATTATAGTGACGCACATGGCTGGAACAAAGTTAATATTTAATTCACATGTATAATACGCATTCCTAACTTTTAGGATTAAATATATTAGGAAGAGGTGCGTATTATACATAAATAATTACGAGAGAGCTTGTGTTGAGGGATGACAGAAGGAAAATAGGGGTGGAGGAGAGCGATCGGGGAGTGAAAACTTAGTAGTTGTGGTAGTTGCTTCTTGCAAACCTGACCCCAGTGGTCGAGGTTTCGAGAATAGCTGTAAGCCAGTTTAATCGAATGCTTTTGTTTCGTTTTAGTTATCTGATAGCAAGTTCTTGTTTCTTTGAAGCTTAGCGTAATACATTCATCCGCCACCAATTCCCCATCAGATCTCCCTGCTGATTTTGCATTATGCTAAGCTAAATTTACTCAATACCACGTGGGAAGGAGAGACAAAGAAGAAGAAAAGAAATTAAACCTCGCATCGTCTGGCACAACGTAACAAGTATCCAGTGAGAAAATGAATTCACATTATTACATAATGCATGGCATCCACCAAATATCGTGCATGCTTCGTCCTGGGTATGACGATAAACTACATCTAGCAGCAAAGACTCTGATCGGCAGACTGGAGGTTTTGATTTAATTGGTTTAGTTTTAATTACTGTTGTTCTCCCGGGTCAACCTTAACTGGGGTGGTAACACCTGTTAGGGTCCCAGCTATGGACTAATAGTGAATCTCCAAACAAAAATCAACAGTACATTTTTATAGTAAAATTACCAACAATACATTTTATGATCTACTAAATATATATCTAAAAAACATACATTTACTCTGAAAGTAGAAAATTTTGTACAAAATATCTGTAGTTGAAGGCATAAAATTATGTACAAAATATTTAGATTTCGGCATTAAATAACCAATAGAAATTGATATGCCGCTAAATAAAATTAACCAACATGAAAGAACTTTTTTATGACAGTAGTCCATAGAATATCCTACAATTCTTAAAGAAATCAAACTGTATTCTAAAATATGACTTCAACAAAACTACAACATAAAATATACATATCACCGCCTCTAGTAATCGTGTCCATACAAATATGTATATACATAAAATGATTTGCCATAGAGTAATGGTTACACAAAAGCTGTGTATCATCTACCATGTAAACTATTGTGAAAGCAGAATAATGTACAATGATATTTTTATTACTTCAAAGCTCCCAAGAAATTTCGACATTAAATGACCCATAAAGAGTTTACATGCCGTTAAGCAAACAAATCAATCAATAAATTGAGCATGCTAACCATTACTCTATGGCAAATCATCTTGTGAGTAAAATCTTCATCGAAGGGAAACGACAATAAAACAGGATTCGAGGAGACAGAAAATGACAATTGACCTTGCATTTAAGTTTTGAAAATCGGAGTTGAAAGAAAGTAAGAAACTGAGAAATGTGAGAGAAGAAAGACAGCATAGAACTTATGGTGAGATCAAGCAATTTCAATAGTAAAATGGCGGCTAATTAGAATTTATGTGTGTGGTCAAAGTGAAAAGAAGTAGATTAAAGGAAAAAGGCAGAAAAAAGAACGACGATGAGAGAGTCAGGTGGCGGGAAGAAAAAAAGGTGAGAGGTAGTAAAAAAAAAAAAAGGGAGTGGAAGTACAAAGGAGAAAGGGAGAAAAGGAAGAGATGGAGAAAAAGCAAAGAGGAAGATACAAAAAAAAAAATCGAAAGAAAAGCGGAAAAAAGTTGGAGGCAAAAAATAAATTGTCATTGACAGGAAGTGGAAAACGTTTGTCACGTAAACAATAAAGAAAAGAAACGTTAAAACAAATCTAAAAAAAAATACAAACATAGAAAAAAAAACACAAAAAGAGATAAAAAACAAAAATAAAAAAGATAAAAAGCACCCAAAAAACAAACAAGAGAAAGAGAAAGAAGGGTGTAAAGTTAAAGTGTTTGAAATAAGTGAGACTAGATAAATGAAAAGAGAAAGATAGAAATGGAAAAGCTAAAGAATGAGAATGGGTGGTTACAACAGGTAATGAAAGTATGTTGGTAAAGGAAAAGAGAGGAAGAAAAGGTGATGAATCCAAAAGACATATTGTAAGATTGAGAGAGAGAAAGAGAGAGAGAGAGAGAGAGAGAGAATAAAGAAGAGGAAGAGGGAAATTTGAAAATTATTGATTGAAGAAGATATGGGATAATGAAATTTATGGAGAGAAAAGAAGAAGAAATCTGAGAATCAGAGCAAGAGAGATAAAATGGTCGAGGAGGAAGAGATAGTATAAGAGCCTAGAAGTAAAAGAAAGACGGAGAGAGATTTGAAAAATATAGACCGATAGAGATAGATAGAGAGATATATATAGAGAGATGGAGCACGGTAAAGAAAGACAAAAGTCAGAGAGATAAAGAGAGAGTGATCACAAATTATACTGACCGAAAATATAAACACTAATGGTGATGATGATGAAAATGATGTAAAATAATCTCAACCGTGGCAATCGAAGTGGCAAAGAAAGTGGTAGACAGTAAGAGAAAGGTAAAGAAAAATATGAAAAACTTCACGACCGAGAGATTGGCAAAGAAAGAGAGAGAGATGGAGAGAGAGAGGAGAAGGGGGAGGGGGAGAACAACTATATAAAGGAGAAGAGGAGGTGATTTGAATAACAAGGGCCACGTGAATAGGAGAGAGAAGTGTTAAGGAAAAAGATAAGAATATGTGAAAAATATATAATGAGAGAGAGAGAGAGAGAGAGAGAGAGAGAGATGGATAGAACTAAAAAGAGAGGAGGCTCTGAAAAATATAAAAAAAGAGCAAAAGGGAACAGGCGTGTAAATGAGAAACAGAGACAAAAAGGAGAGGCTGAAGATAAGGCAGAGAAAGTAAGGAGTGGATGGTGTAAAAGAGGAAGCGATTGAAGGTAAGAGAGAAAGGGAGAAGCTTTAAGTTCAGAAAGAGAAAGTGAGAAACTGAAGGTAGAAGAGAAAAACAAAGGCTCAATGGTGAGAGAGAAAAAGGGAGAGTCTGAAGGTGAGAGAGAAAAAGGAAGAGACTGATCGTTGAAGGGAGAAAGGGAGTGACTGAAGGTGAGAAAGAGGAAAGCAGAGGCTGAAGGTGAGAGAAAGAAGAAGCTGAATGTGAGAGAGAAGAAAAAAATAAGAGAGAGAGAGAGAGAGAGGTGAGGGGAAGAAAAAGGAAGAGGCTGGAGGTGAAATAGAAGTCGAAGGAGACTTAAGAGAGAAAAGGAGAAGCTGAGGGTGAGAGAGAAAGGAAGTGACTACGAGTGAAAGAATAAGAGACAAAATGGTAGAGTCATTGAAAGGAAGGTTTGACGTTAACATCTGGTGATGTCACATTGTCATTCTGCCTAAATGTGTTGTGAGCAAACACGTTTTTGAATTTGTACTAACTTATTTTTTGTTTATATATATATATATATATATATATATATATATATATATATATGTGTGTGTGTGTGTATATATATATATATATATACACACGTGTGTGTGTGTATTTCCTTTCATCATTCAGTGTTTTTCGTTCTTATTATTTGTTTAGATAGGCGATGAGAAAAGAGGGACATGAAGAAAAATCGTAAAAAGACAATAATTTGAAGGCACGCAATGCTGCTGACACTTAGGAAAAAAAAAAACAAGCAGACACGTTGCATGACTGAACACACTCGAACCACAAAAGATGGAAGAACAAAAAAAAGGAGGAAGAGAAAGAAGTGAAAGAGAGAAAAAATAGCGAAAGAAGCCGAAGTGGAGGAAAAGAGACTGAAGCGAAAAGGAGAAATGAAAAAGAGAAACAAGCGAATGAAGGAAAGAAAAATAGAATTAAGTTGAGAGAAAAGAAAATAGAAGGAAAGAAAAGAAGAGAAAGAGAAGGAAAATGAAAACAATAAAAGTTGGAGAAAAACAGAAAAAAAAAACAGAAAGAAAGGGACAGAAAAAACACAAAGAACGAGACAGAGGAAAAACGGGACAGAAGAAAAAAATAAACAGACAGAAGAAAACACAAAGAAACGGACAGAAGAAAAAAAGGGACAGAAGAAAACACAAAAAGGGACAGAGAAAATACAAAGAAAGGGACGAAAGAAAACACAAAGAAAGGGACGAAAGGAAACACAAAGGAAGGGACGAAAGGAAACACAAAGGAAGGGAGAGAAGAAAGAAACGGGACAGAAAAAAAATACAAAGAAAGGGACGAAAGAAAACATAAAAGAAAAGGACAGAAGAAAAAAGGGACAAAAGAAATCACAAAAAAAAAGACAGGAAAAAAATATATAGAAGCACAAAGAGAGATACAGAAGAAAACACAATAAAAGGGACAGAAGGAAAGAAAAGGGACGAAAGATAAAAGGTAGAAATAGACGAAACCAAAAAAAAAAAAAAAAAAGAAGAGAGAAAGAGAGAGAAAGAAAAGATGTAAAAAATAATGGAAGCCGGGGAAGAAAAAGAAAAAAAGGAAAAAAAAGTAAAGGCAATGGAAGACCGTGGGCCAGAACAATTTCATTTGAGAGTCACTTTGTTTCTTCCCCTTATTTTTCCAATATTTTTCATCTGTTTCAGTCACATTTTGGTTAAGGAACTTTAAACCAGTAAAATGGATATTTCCTTTAAATTTTAGTTTTTTTCTTTTTTTTCTTTTAGCTTGCTTCCCTTTGCTTACGACTTCTCATTTGAATGAAGTTCTCTTTGCCAATAGGCAGAAGAACGCATTTGTATTTATAATCAAAAGTACACACGTCACTATTCCATTGCCATCTTTTTTTGACAATTTATAATGTACATTTTGGGGAAGGTCACGTGTCTGTAATATCTCGGTGACTTAGCAAAACTAAGAAGAACCACTCATCGGAAAGAAACTCCATACTGGTTTTAATTATTACTATCCAGCTCAAAGAATTTTACAAGCATGAAGATCAAGTGCGTGTTTTGTAAGACAAAAATAGAAGCAACAAACTGATGCAGGCTTCCTCTTGTTAAAATATAATTCTCTATTGTCTATAACTTATTATAATATTACTTGTTCCTTAATTAGTTAACGGTTATATTACGTCCTGTCACTATCCTTATAAATAACAGACTTCCATTTTGATCGCCAGGAAAGACGTTTGGATTCCGTGAATAAAAAAAGAAAGAGATAAATATAGAAAGAGAGAATGAAAGGGAAGATAGTGGATAGGATAAAGTGCTCATTTGTTTAACACCTGCTTTAACGAAATGGAATAATTTATTTTTTTTTTTTTCATTTATACCCTCTTGCTACTTTAAATAATGACCTGCATCCATACTTATGATTGTTATTGCAAAATTTGGTTAAGGTTGTTATGCTTGGATATCGAACAACGCAATATGGGAGTTTTAAAGCGTATTTTATAGTTGTGGAACTCACAATGATCTGATCCGATCAGTAACTAAATAATTATGATTCAACAGAAAATTCAAATAGCAAAACGGTGAAATTTCCACGGTTATTTCTACTAAATATTAATTTACCGAAAAAAAAAAAGAAGAAAAAGTTTTCACTATTTAAATTCCTACGAAAGGATGCTGAAAAATACTCGATTATACCTGACCCATTTCCCAAATTTAGACCAAATGACCAAACATTATAATGTTATCTGGAATCTTTTCTGGGTCAAGCCGAAAACTTTTCAACACTAAGCATCAGGCAATAGTCAGCGATGCCATTAGCTTTAAGTAGAGAGTTCAGTTCTCACTGGATTCATCATACAATGTTCGACATTAAATAACGCAAGCTTTGACATGTAGTAAAATCAACCTATCAATATTTTTAGCACCCTTACATACACCAAGTGTTTTTATCCATACTAAAATCATCTTTCTTGCACTAGCAACGCCAAGTGATAAGGTATTTGTTATAGCGTCATCTTGGAACAAGACGTTTCCGAAGCCAGGAAGTGAAAAAACCGAATTCGTAAAAGAGTGTAGTAGAACAATAAGCGATGTTGTGTCATCACCAAACTGGCTATATACAGTCTACCACATTGTACTAGATGTCCACTGACACTATAAGAAGGCTCATTCTTTGATGGATCTTGTTTTGATCCTGTTGTGTGTCTAGCTTTAAAATATCTATTCATCGCGACACAGAAATTACCGTGATAGCATCGTAATTTTCGTGTCACGATAAATACATATTTTTTAAATAATAATATTATAATATTATGGTCTACTGTGTATCGAACACTGGTTTTAAAAATAAATACTAAAAGAACTGTGGATTATAAATCTGACTGCACTTTCTCTTCTCAAAGATGAAGAGACTTGAAGCAACAGAAACGTGATTATACAGAAAAATGCTGAGGATACCGTGGACCGAATATGTGAGCAACGGAGAAATTCTAGAGAAAATGGAAACAAAAAGGAAACTTATACTTAACATCGGGGGGGGGGAAACAACTGAAATTTCTAGGACACATAATGAAGGGGTTTGGAAAATATGATACAGGACAGAGGAAAAGAACTCATGAAATAGTGAGCTGGAGTAAATGAATGGTGAAACAGGGTTTGGGAGAAATAACAAAAAGAGAACATTTATTAAGAACGACAAAGGATAGGAAAATGTAGAGAGCCATGATCGCTTACGACTTGAAGCGACACGGCATTTGAAGAATGCCTAGAACCAGCTGGAAATTGCGAAATAGCGTTTTATTATATGGCTGTTTATATATTGCTATATTTTTACATCGAGATACAATATATATATATATATATATATATATATATATATATATATATATATGTATATACACGCAAACGCATCATAGTTTCTAGCCATCATTTACGAAGAGTGTTTTTTGAGTGATTCCTCCATATTATATTTTTTTTTGTAAACACTACTGTCACTAACAGCATCAAACACACAATTTCCGTTGCTTTTATTCCAAGTTGAATTTCGACCGATCATCTTTTAGGCCGCCATATTGATTTCATTTGTTAAAACTGGAAGCTGGACCGGGTTAAGCATAAAAAAGAAAAAGAAAATAAGTACATGCTTAGGCGAGCAAAAGAGAAGCAGACACAGCGTGCACATTTTCCCTCTCTGAAAGTCTTGTGACTTATTAATCTGATCATATTTGCAAGAAAAACTAATGGGCTTATGTAAAATCAATTAAACTTATACGAAATATTTATCCTATTTCGTTAACCGGTTTTGTAGCGGTCTGGAACGAACAATAACGTGTTTCTTTTCAGATTTTTTAATGATAGGTTGCCAAATAGAAAAGGGATTTGTTCAATAGATTTCCTTCAAGAATGCGTAATGCATATCTGAAAGTTTTGGCAAATTTGAACCTTCGTGCCTGTAAAAGAGAATGTCAAAAGGACGGTTTTTTCCAGTGACACTGCTATTAGTTTAACTACCTTCACTCCTTTTCATTATTTTAAAAAGCAATGATTAAAATGGTAATAAAACCTAAATATGCGAAAGTGGTTTTATACATTTTCTTTGTTCTTGAAAAGTGACAACAAAAATAATAAACACTAATTATTCGTAGATCGGGGCTCACAAAAGAGTTTTACGTTTAGACAACCATTCACAATCTCTCACAATACACAGGAACAAAACTGGACATAACTAAAAAAAAAAAAAAAGATTACGGAGAAAGTACTTCGAGAACCTACAATATTACCAACTATAATAACAATATTACCAACTATAAACACACGTCAACACACATTATATGGCCAACCTCTATTGAATCGATTCTTGAAGAATCTAACGTCTGTTTATCTAAAACAAATAGTATGTACGTAAAAACGTTGCCAAATCAACATGCGAAAAACCAACGATCATAATGTACAGTAGACATACACACACACTTACGAATATAGATTATCATCTAATTCCCAATAAGAGAAAGTAGAATTTTAATACACTTACATACATATAGTAATATTTACGGTTTTTCAAGTAGGTTTGGAATCTGTTAATTTCTTGAAACTTCGGATGGACGTGTCGTCTCTCTTTCAATTCGGAACACCACATTGGTTTGGAGAGTCAAATGCACGTGAAATATGAGTGACCAATGAATATCAAACAACACAAAAGTAAAATTACCAAAATTCATTTCTTCTTTTTCTCCATATCTTACTCTCTAATGAAGATTTAAAAAAATGTTTATGCTAGATTGATAAACGTTTCCTACTTGTTCTTTATCTTATTACACAAATATATATATATATATATGTATATATATATATATTACACACACAAACACACATAGCCAAACACACACACATATATATATTTTCTGTTTATACGTTATTTTAAACAGAAAATATATTAAATAATTGTCATACTAAATTCATTTCATCATATATATGTCTATTTTCAATATTTATAGCGAATAGCGCTCAATATCGGAGATAGAGGGCTTATAGATACCGACAGTGTGGACATAGGAATCACCACTGCATTGTGATTGTTAGTTTTTCGTTTCAATGTGATTTCTTGAATTGTTTTGATGATTGCATGGAAACGTAAAACTGACAGTCACTATGCAGTGTTGATTTCTATGTCTGTACTGTCTATATAATTCGGAGAAAGTACAGCGTTGAAAGTAAAGTTCAACAAATGAATCATCAAGAAGAAAAGGTAGAAGGAAGTGGAGAAGAAACAGAATGAGAAGAAGAAAAAAAAAACAAGAGATGTAAAAAGAAGCATGAAAAGTAAAGGGGAATTAGAAGAAGATAATACAGAAGAAAAGGAGAAGAAGAAGAAGAATATGAAAAAGAAGAAAAAGGGAAGACAGAAGAAGATAATACAGAAGAAAAGGAGGAGAAGAAGAAGAATATGAAAAAGAAGAAAAAGGGAAGACAGAAGAAGATAATACAGAAGAAGAAGAATATGAAAAAGAAGAAAAAGGAAAGGCAGAAGAAGATAATACAGAAGAAAAGGAGGAGAAGAAGAAGAATATGAAAAAGAAGAAAAAGGAAAGGCAGAAGAAGATAATACAGAAGAAAAGAAGAAGAATATGAAAAAGAAGAAAAAGGAAAGGCAGAAGAAGATAATACAGAAGAAAAGGAGAAGAAGAAGAAGAATATGAAAAAGAAGAAAAAGGAAAGGCAGAAGAAGATAATACAGAAGAAAAGGAGGAAGAAGAAGAATATGAAAAAGAAGAAAAAGGAAAGGCAGAAGAAGATAATACAGAAGAAAAGGAGGAGAAGAAGAAGAATATGAAAAAGAAGAAAAAGGGAAGACAGAAGAAGATAATACAGAAGAAAAGGAGGAGAAGAAGAAGAATATGAAAAAGAAGAAAAAGGGAAGACAGAAGAAGATAATACAGAAGAAAAGGAGGAGAAGAAGAAGAATATGAAAAAGAAGAAAAAGGGAAGACAGAAGAAGATAATAAGAAGAAAAGGAGGAAAGAAGAAGAATATGAAAAGAAGAAAAAGGAAGAAAGAAGAAGATAAAGAAGAAAAGGAGAAAGAAAAGAATATGAAAAAAAAAAAGGGAGACAGAAGAAGATAATACAGAAGAAAAGG